GAAAGGGGGGAAAAAAGGGGAAAGAAAAAAGAAGGAAAAATTTTTTTTTTTTTTTTTTTTTTTTTTTTTTTTGTATTCCCTTGCCCACCTGGACACAAATGTGTGGCCCAGCCCCAGCAGCCTCCTGGCAGAGACTGCTGTGGACTTCCAGTGTGGGGCTGAGGGAAAACTGGTGCTGTGCTGTCCAGGAGATTTCTGAGCCTTTCATTATGGGTGAGGAGTTTCAAAGTCCTGCTCTCTGTGGTGACTAACCACGAGAGCCCTGCTGATGTGACTCAGTCACAGCCTGTGACTTTGTTCCTGCCCTGGTGGGAAGCACAAGGTCAGAATTAAGGATTTCCCTCATTCTCCCCTGGCTTTGAGCCAGGTGTATTCACCTAGGGGTATATTTACACATTCCTTGTGTGGCATTTCCTACCTATTGCCCAAGTGAGTAATTCTCATTAGTGATCCCACTCTCTAAGGATTCTGCAGCCAGGGAAAAAATCAATCCCAAACCTATATTTAAGAATGTAACTTCTGTGGAATTGTTTACATACTTGAAGCTTAACTTCTGCTGAAGTTCCTTGTATAAACTTGGATGTTGCAATCCAAACAGAGGTGGTAGGAAAATGGGAAGGAGAGCAAGAAGAATTCTGCTTCTTTATAAAAGATAACAAAAAGGTTTTGTTTAAACCTAAATTTACTTGTTTCCTAAGAAATCCAGCTGGAAACTCCAGGTGCAGGAGCTGCATTGAGGGACAGAGCAGATAGAGCAGGGGGATAGAGCAAGGTGTGAAATTATTCTGCTGCTTGGCAAAGGTATGGCTGTACTATTTTTTCCTAATTGTGCTATCTCATAAAGGTGTAAATATAAATACAAACCTCCTACAGGAGATGTTTCAGCAGCAGACAATGCTGCATAATGACCAGGTGTCAGAAATACTTGTCCTGAACAGGCACAGCTGTTGTGCATTGATGGGGAGGGAGAGCTGAGCAGCAGGAGACAATGGAGAGAACATTCACACAATCAGTGCTTTCCTCTCTTTCCCCTTTCTTGCTCAGCTGTGCTTCTGAAAAGTTCACAGCTTCAGTTTTCCCTTTGGTTACTGTGGAGAGCCCAGCCACTGAGTGATGTTGAAAACCCCTCCTTGAGCTGACTCACAGATATTTGGACAGGCAGCTCTAATGGCCCTGGGGATTGCTGGGTGCAGAACACTTCTGGTACCACAAATGCCCAAAAAACCCCAGTGCATTTGTATCCAGGTATTGCTAAACCCAGAAAGAGGGCTGATATCCAATGGCATGGCAAGAGAGCTGGCTCTGCAGGCAGAGGGGCTGATGGGCAGAATGAATACCCCCAGCTCCTCCATCCACTCCATCTCCAGCCCTGTTTCACAGGGAGGGTCTCTGTGATGTGAAGGTGATGTGAAGTACATAAACCCAATTTTTTCTAATTTTTGCATGGCCTGGACTGTTAATTTTTGGCAAGAACTGGTCTGTGCCAGTAAAAACTGCCTTCAATCAGAATATTTTGCTGCCCAGTGGAGGCTGTACCCAAGGCACATGCCCACAAGGAACATCTGCATCCAGCAGCGATAGCCAGGCAGGGATTTAACTGGTGCTGGCTTTGGAAGGGGAAACCCAACACCTGGGCCAATCCAGGTGTGCTTGCTGCTCCTCCCCAAGCATTTCTCCTTCCCCAAAGATCAGGAAGCCTTTTGAGGTTCTCCTTCTTTTGTGGGCAGGCCATGAGGGCAGATGTCTCCTGGGGTTTGTTGCCAGCTTTCCAGCAGGATCCAGGTGGAGCCTCTGGGATTTTCCAGTTCCTCCTGCTCTGCAGCAGGTCCCTTCTCCACTGCCAGCTGACATGGCACAGACCTGACACACAGCTGCATGTCCAACCCTTGGCACAGGGTTTGGAATCCCTATTTATGCTGCTTGGGGCCCTGACGTGCCAAGGATGCCATGAAAAATAAACGCAAATACCAACTTCTCCAGGCCACGGGACTTGATGCTCTGCTGAGTGGGATGCTGAGGCAGCCAGAGCTGCTCTCCTGTGCCATTCCATTGATAGTTTTGGGAACTCAGCCTGAAATGTGGTTTCCCTTTGAGGAAGGATTGCCCTTCCTCCAGCAGGGCACCACCACTGTGGCCTTAATATAGATTTCCTACTAGTAACACAAGCCACGTGTTCTGGTTTGAAAAACTCTTTTTCCTCTCCTCCCTCTGGTCTGAAGCACAAAAGAAAGTGGTTTCTCTTTCCCAAAGGAGCATGGAGGAAGCATGGAAGGAAAACCATCCAAGGAAAACCATCACCAGACTGGAACTATTCATCCAAGATGCATCGTACCATGACACACAGAGAACACTGGTAGCCCACACATGTTGCTGTAATGACATAACTTGCCCTGCTTTTTCCTGAAAGGGACATTTCCAGTGAAAGAGATGAGTTTGCATCCCTCCAGAGGCACAGGTGACACCACGTGCACCCAGGCGAGGCAGGGATGACCAACGCGCCTCGCCCTGCGGGCAGCGTGCCCAGGGACACTCCCCTGTTGCACAAACCTTCCCGGGCTTCCCTTCTACTCCTTGCTCCAGGAAGGACTCAGGAATTTACTCCATCTGCTCCTCGCCTGCTGAGTCCCTCCCTCCTCCCAGGATTGTCCCCAGAGCACTCGAAGGTGACAATTGTGTGTGGGCAGAGCTCTGTGGAGCAACCAGAGGGCTCCTCCCAGGGCTGCAAGGGTCAGGAGGCCAATACTCATCTGGGGCAAGCTTGGGGCTGCCCACTCATCCCTAAACCGGTGCCCCAGAGAGCTCTGCCACACATGGCTGGTCCCAAAAATCCTGATCCGAGCTGTCAGTGGGGCACATGAGGACGGAGCCACTCAGCAAACTTTGAATGAAGAAAGAAATACAAAAAGACATTTTCCTGAGAGCTTTTATGCCTAGAAATATTCCCAGGGACTGAACCTCTCTGAACCTGCAGGCTCCTGGGGGATATGGCTCCTTGGGGCATTCAGAGGCAGCCACACAGGCAGAGACATCCACCCCTCTGTGCTGTCCTGCTGGACCACAGCGATGAGCACAGCGAGCAGCAGAGTGAATAATGAGCACACAGAGCAGCAGAGGGAATGGTGAGCACAGAGAGCAGCAGAATGAATGAAAATCAGGCAGGGCCCAGCTGAGGTGCAGCTCCTCCCACAGCACCCCAGGCACCCTGCCAGCCCTGATGACTTTCTTCTTCCTCCCTGGGACTTGTAGAGGTTGTAACTCCTCTGATCACCTCGTAACATCACTGCGGAAACATTACGTGTTGCTAATTGGGAGCAGGTGCATGGGAATGCACACCAGCATTGCAATTCCAACCACTTATGTTGTGCTTTTCCTCTTAAGAAACCAAACCCACTCATAAAAAAACTTTGCTAACCCTGCCAATGGGGTCCAGGAATGCTTTGGATTGATTAAACAAGTTAACATTTGATCATTCTTCTGCTCCAAGATTGTTTCAAGACTGGACTGTTCTGCCCTCGTGGGACACAAACAAACCCAGAGCAGCAGCAGAGGTGCCAAAGCACCTTGTGAATTTTACCACCCCAACCTCGAGTAGCACCCAGCTTTTCAAGCTCCTCCACGTTCAGCACCCAGCTTTTCAGCTCCTCCTCTGCTCTGCTGTAATTCCACATTTCCAGAACTGAAGGCCCCGAAATCCTCTCAGATCATGCCCAGCCACTGAAGAAAGCTGTGCTCTGGCACCTGCAGCTAGGGCAGCCTGGGTTTCTACAGCTGGAACCGAGCGCAGTGACAAGGTCAGGGCAGCATCACAGCTCACACACTGAAGGAATTGCCAGATGTAACAGCCCGAGGGGCTGCACCGGGTTAGAACCAGGTGAGACGGAGGATGCTGCGCCCTGAGCTCGGCATCACTCGGGCAGGGCAGCCTCGGGGTCACAGCGGGGCCAGCGCAGCCCCGGGAGCCGCCAGCGGAGGCGCGGCCGCGGCTCTCCCCTCCCTGAACATCCCCGGGCTAAACGCGAGCCAGGTGACAAACCTGCCTTCAAAACCAACCCCCCTGTCTGGGTCCCTGCTGATTAACTGGGGAATTTCTGACCTGAAGCTAAAATTCAAAGCTTAATTCACTAGATGTTCAGCACGGGGCATTCTTGCTGAGCTCACAGCCTCCCGTGGGAACTGGCACTGGCAGGAGGGATGGAGCAGCAGAGCAGAATTTGTATGGCTGGGAGCAAAGTCTGGCAAAGGAGAAGAGCTGAGAAGAGCCCTGGACTGAGAGAAAGTTTTAATGGGGAGTTAAAAATAGGATGCGGAGTTTAGGGTGAGACTCCCTTAACTGTCTCAAATCAGATCTCTGCAGAAGTTCGCATTAATAATAATTAATTATTCACTAGAGCTGTAGCTGTGAGCCCAGTGATGGGTGACTGACCCACTGACATCAGCAGATCTTCCTGAAATCAGACACTGCAAGGGGAAGCTGCAGATTTAACCCAAAAGAAGGGAGGAAAATGACCCATAGCATCAAAAATCTGGCAGAAATCAGTGATTTTTTTAAGCATTCCCTGCGGCACTGCAATTAAAGTTTTAAAGTAACTTACTCCTGATACCAGACACGGTGAGGGGAAGCAACAGATTTCACCCAAAAGAAGGGAGGAAAATGACCCATAGTGTCAAAAATCTGGCAGAAATTAGTGCAGAGACACTGATTTCCACCAATCAGTGATTTTTTAAGCATTCCGTGCAGCACAACAATAAAAGTTTTAATGTACTTCTGAAATCAGATACTGCGAGGAAAAGCCACAGATTTCACCCAAAAGAAAGGAGAAAAATGAACCATAGTGTCAAAAATCTGGCAGAAATCACTGATTTTTTTTTTAAGCATTCCCTGCGGCACAGCAATAAAAGTTTTAAAGTCATGTACTCCTGAAATTAGACGCTGGAAGAGGAATCTGCAGATTTCACCCAAAGAAAAGGGAGGAAAATGAGCCATAGTGTCAAAAATCTGGCAGAAATCAGTGATTTTCTTTTAAGCATTCCCTGAAGCACAGCAATGAAAGTTTCAGAGCCATCTACTCTGCTTGTGACCTCAGCGAAATTAAGGAACCGTTAGTTAAAAAAGAACGCGCAATAATCAGACTTATCCTCGAGGTGAGGAAGAAGGAATGCACCGGCGAGTCTCACACGTGCCCTGGGACACGAGAAGCTCACGGAGAGCACGAAAAGCGCTCCACGGCGGCTCCGTGGGGAGGCGCGGGCGGCACTCAGGTGCGCCGCTGCCTTACCTGGCCGCAGGAGCTGTTGGCTCGCAGGTTCCCGAGCAGCAGGTAGGCGGTGGGCAGCATCAGCAGCAGCACGGCCAGCAGGCAGAGCAGCAGCGCGCAGCGGATCCTCCGCAGGTCCTGGCGGAGCAGCATCCCGGCTCCGTGCCCGCTGCCCGCAGCCTCCGCGCCCATCTCCACCGCGCTCTCCATGGCAGCAGCGCCGGGCTCGTCCTGCGAGGGAGCCGGGCACCGCCAAACCTCCTGTGGCTCCTGCCCTGCATGGAGACCCCCATTAAATAAGAGCTGTGCCGAGTGTGGGAAGGCACCGGCGCACACGCAGTGCCTCCCTCCCTCCCGAGGAATGCACCGCCTACAGTAGAAACCCGGCAGGAGCCGCGCTCCCCGCGCTGCCCGGCCGCTCCTGCCTCCCAGCGCTCCTCTCCCCCCGCTCCCTGCTGGAGGAAGCCAGGAAAGTCCCGGTGGGTGGAACCAGGATCTGCCCTGCTGCTGCTGGTGCTGCTGGTGCTGCTGGGCTGGAGCTCCGCAAGATTTTCCGCCTGGCAAAGGGAAGGTGAAACCGATGGGAGTGAAAGTGAGAAGCAGGGGCAGAGCGAGAGGCAGAGGCGAGTGCAGCCCGGCAGTTTCTTCTTTCCCAGAGAAAGGGGAAGAGGCTTTTGGGGAAGGTGAGAAGACAGGAAGCAAGTGACCCCAAAGAAGGGTCCGCTTCTCTGAAGTGTTGCTTCATCCCCACATTTTAGCAGAATTCACAAGAGGCTTCCCGTTGCTCAATGTGCATCTTTTGCACCAAACCATCGGGGCTTAGGCGCGAAATCAGATGTTTCTCTGCTCTGGGGCTCATCTTCTCCTAAATTATCTTAATTTTTAATTAACAAAACTTTGTGCTGTCACAGGGGTCTGTTATTGCTACTTGGACAAATGTCATGGGTTGACTGCATGATGCTTTTATCATAAACCAAGACAACAAGTGTGATTTTACTGTACTTGGGGCAGAAATGATGTCAGTGTTACTTGGCTGACAGCTGCTATCCCTGACAGAGAGGGGCTGCAGCTTGTGGGCATCCTCTGGAGCTGATCTGTGGATATTCTTAGTTCAGTTGAAGAAAGAACAGAGATATTTTTTCTCAGGCTGGGCCTGGGAATTTGAGAAGAAAAGAGTTAAAACAATTATTATTTTTCTTTTTGTAACCATTGTTTATAGTTATGGTTCTCCACAGTGTGCTAATCATAATAATTAATAATGTGAGATGTTTCTACTTGGAGACAATCAGGTCCCAGCTTAGCGAGTGAGACTGTAAAACTCACAACTTCTTGCTAATAAAGAATTATTCTATTTTACCTTCTGATCCACCTAAAGATGGAGTCTTTCTTTCCCTCCCTGACTCAACAGCATCAGTGATCAGCAGCACAGCTGGGAGGAACACACTCTGCTGGCAGCTGATGTCCAACTGGAAGGGGTTCCTGTATCCCAGGACATTCCTTCCTTGCTCCCTGCCACTCTGCAGCAGCCCACCCTCCCCAGGGAAATCCTCTCATTTAGGAAGTGCTTGGCATGCAGATGTTGCCATTTAGACTTGCCCAGACTGTTGAGGTTGGATTTTTTTTGTCCCCAGGAAAGTTCTCATTAAAACAGAAACTTTCTTTGAGGTGTATGTGCACACACAGTGATGTGCAGGAACTTCTCCTTTTTCTCTGGGTAGAGAAACAGGCTGGAAACTTCAACACTTTTTTTAGTGAGAGAGATTTGGTTCCCCTCACCTCCCCATGAAAAGCTTTTCAGATTTGGGCTTTTAAAAAATAAGATCAAAGAAAGAAAACTATTTTCTCATGTCCCAGGCTGTCTATAACATCCCTTTCCCTGACAAAAATTCAGCTAGCTCTTCTCACTTCAATGACACAGAAAAAAATCTTCTTATTGCAATAGCTGGGTGCAGCTCTTGATGTTCTGGAGAGCTCCAAGCCATGCTCTGAGTAGAACATGTGGTTTGGTCAGCAAGGCTGAGGCTGCCAGCAGCAAGAACAGGATTCTTGCCAGCAGAGCAGAGAGGGAAGAGACCAGGGAAACTATGAAAGAGTAAGCAAGGAATAGTGAAAAGCAGGAGGTCTAGGGAGATAAGAGAATCCTGGAATGGTTTGGATTGGAAGGGATCTTAAAGGTCCCCTAGTTCCACACCCTGCCATGGGCAGGGACACCTTCCACTATCCCAGGCTGCTCCAGCCTGGCCTTGGGCACTGCCAGGGATCCAGGGGCAGCCACAGCTGCTCTGGGCACCCTGTGCCAAGGCCTGCCCACCCTCACAGGGAAGAATTTCCTCCCAGTATCTCAAATAAACCTATTCTCTATCAGTTTGAAGCCATTCCCCCTTGTCCTGGCACTCCATGCCCTTGGACAGTCTCTCTCCATCTTTCCTGTTATCCCTTTCAGGCTCTGCAAGGCCACACTGAGCTCACCCCAAAGCTTCTCCTCTCCAGTGAACAATCCCAGCTGTGCCAGCCTTCCCTCCCAACAGAGCTGCTCCATCCTCTGATCCCCCTGGTGCCTCCTCTGGATCTCTCCAGCAGCTCCAGCTCCTCCCTGTGCTGGGCCAGGGCTGGGGCAGCTCTGCAGGTGGGGTCTCACCTGAGCCCAGGGCACAGGGGCACAATCCCCCTGCCCTGCTGCCCACGCTGGGCTCAGCCCAGGGCAGGGGGTTCAGGGCTGGCTCCTGCCCAGCTCCTCACCCAGCACAGCTTTGTAAAGCACCAAAGGCTGTGTGCTCCCATCCCAGCAGAACCACACCGCTCCTGTCAGACCTTAGACAAGTGACTGACTCTGTTTCCTTCCTTAATTCCTCACTGTTTGTTTTCATTTAGACTGTAAAACCTTGGGGACAAGGACTGCTCTCTGCTTTTACAGAGCCCAGATCTCATTTCAGAGTAGGTGTGGCTCCATTTATCCTCAAATAAAACTTGTATTTCTGTGAAGTGCTGTGTAGACAAATGAATTTTTTACTTTTTTTTTTTTTCCTTCTGAGGTCCCAGTTACATATTCTATGGAAAAATAATAAAAAACCCAATACTAATATTTTGACCACGAGTGTCAAAGTTAATTTTTTCTTCACTGTGAGTGCTACAAAAAGCTGAAAATATATTCAAGGCATGAGCCTTGCCAACAGACGGACACAGATATCTCCGGGGAACACCAGGAGTTTATTATTATTTTATTTGCCAAGGATTTCCAGGGGAGCCAGCTCTGAGTTACAACAGCTTGTAAGAGCTTTTATTGGCCTCAGCCTTCTTGCAGCAGTGCCCTGCAAATCTTTGGCTGGAAGAGGATGAGCAGCTGGAGCCTCTTGAGATGAGCTGGGAGCAGGCTGATGCTCTGCCCCTGGCGCTGAGGCTGAGCTGAGAATTTGCTCTTAAAGATCCCAAAAGAGGGAGGAGAAATTTCTTTTTTCCTGTGTAGACAAGTGTGCCTGGCAGAGAGGAGCCTGGTACTTGCCAGGAGGGTACTCAGGAAAAGAAAGAAAAAGAACACAGAAAAAGAACATTCCCGGGCATGGATTTTTTGGGGAGGAGAAAAACGAGAGGAACACTGGGAGAGCTTTACTCCCATCTTTTTTCCCCGCCAAACTGGGCTGTATGTAACAATAAAGGGCAAAGCGTGATCACTGAGCTGTCAAATGCACAGGACAGTCACCATTTAATGTTCAAAGCAGGACCTCAGGACCTCCCTGCTCCATAAAGGGATTTCCAGGCCAAACAAACCTGCTTGCTTTGGTGCCTCCTGTCTCCCCTTTCCAAAATGAAACTCTCTCTGGAGCTGCCAGGAGAAACCCAGCACTGGGCTGCACTGGGATGCCCTGGGATGCTCTGGGATGCTCTGGGATGTTCTGGGATGTTCTGGGATGCACTGGGATTCAATGGGATGCACTGGGATGCACTGGGATTCACTGGGATGTTCTGGGATGCAATGGGAGGCAATGGGATGTACTGGGCTGTACTGGGCTGCACTGGGATGCTCTGGGTTGCACTGGGATGCTCTGGGATATTCTGGGATGCTCTGGGTTGCACTCAGATGTACTGGGATGCCCTGGGATGTACTGGGATGCAGTGGGATGCACTGGGATGCACTGGGATTCACTGGGTTGCACTGGGATGCACTGGGATGTTCCCCAGCCATCCCTGGCTGCATGACAGGGAATGGGGACCCTGGGGAACCACCATGGTTTCATCTTTCCTGTGAAGGGATCCTGATCAGGGCAGTCAGGGATGGTCCTGCTCAGCTGTCAGTCATGTCACATCATGTCACATCATGTCACTTCATGCCACCCTTCACATGTCTCCTTCTGCTCCCTGTTTGTCCCCAGCTCCTCTCTCAGCCCAGACTGTTGTGCAAATTCTCCCGCTCTTGTCAAACATGTCCCAGCCTGTGATCCTTGAGTAGTTTCTACTGATTAGAGAAATCTGCAGGGGTAATCAACTGCTGCTGCAGCTCAACAAGATTTAAAGGGGGCAGATGTTCTGCTGGGCAGTTACTGTGGGGCTCAGAGATGTCTTGGAAGAGCTGAAAAAGTATGAAAGGAATTAGGAATCCAAAGAAAACAGCTTGGCACTGGGCAAGTCACTGCTGTGCTGCTGAGCTTTCGCTGCTGCCTGAAGTGCTTTTTGTTCTCCCTGCGTGTTTGTGCCTGATGTGTCTGAGGGCATTTTGTCTGAGGACAAGCTGGATCACATCTAGCATGAGGAGAGAAAAGTGCACAGGCATGGTCTGACAGCTGTTCCTGTGTTTAGCATGGAAAGTTCTCATTATATTGAATCTTTATTCATTCCTTGTGCATATCAGGTGCTGGCTGTGCTCAGTTTTCAGGCTCATCATGACAAGAAGGACATTGGAGCATGTCCAGGGAAGGAAAGGAGCTGGGAAGGGGCTGGAGCCCCAGAGAGGCTGAGGGAGCTGGGAAGGGGCTCAGCCTGGAGAAAAGGAGGCTCAGGGGGGACCTTGTGGCTCTGCACAGCTCCTGACAGGAGGGGACAGCCGGGGGGTCGGGCTGTGCTCCCTCAGTAATAAATGAGAGAAGAAAAGGAAACAGCCCTTAGTTGTTCCAGGGCAGCTCAGGCTGGATATAAGGAGGAATTTTTTCACTGAAAAGTTTATGAAGCCCTGGCACAGACTTCTGAGGGCTGTGGTGGTATCACTATCTCTGGAGGGATTTAAAGGCCATGTGGATGTGGTACTTGGGGACATGGCCCAGTGGTGGCCTTGGCAGTGGTTGGACTCGATGACTTTGGAGGTCTTCTCCAAGATAAACTGTTTTATAGTTGGATGATTCTATGTCTGTGTTTTAAGTTTTGAAGCTTGCACTGAGTGTAGAAAAAAAATACTTGAGCATTCCAAGCCCATTTCACAGATTTTCTAAGGTTTTCAAAGTGATTTTTCTTTACTGTGTGGGGAATGCTTAATGTTTTATTTGCACCACCATTTGTGCTGAATCCTGAGACACTGCCCACAGAAAGACAAAGCACAGGGGATCCCTCAGCTGGGAGGAGAGGGGAAATCAGG